GGCCTGCGAGGCCCACCTCTCGGCTACCCGAAGCCCGGGGGGCCTTTTCCCACAAATGCTGGGGACCTTGCGATAACTGGCTCGTAGCTGCTCCCACTGTCCTACCAAATCCTGAATATCCGCCTCCTTTGCATGCCATTTACCGCCAACCAAAATCCAGCGCCAATTTAGCCCTCCAGCTGCATCCCTGATCGTTTCACTACCATACTTAAAGCCCTTTGGACTCCCACTGACCTACAGTGGCTCCATGGTTAAGCCCAGAAGTTCTGGAATCAGACCTGGAGCTTGCATTCTTTACCAGCTGTGTGGATTTGGACAAATTAATTAACCTCTCTGAGTCTGTGTGCACCCGGAGTTTCATTTGCAAACCAGGGTTCCCCTGTCATCATCTCATTTAAGTCATGGGTCTGGTTTGAGGTGAGTGGAGTGGCATGAACCAGGCTGGCTACCTAGAGTCCCAGCAGTTGGTTTAGGGGTCAGCCTGTGACCCAGTTCTAGCCAAAGAGGCTCAGTCCTGGGACTTTTGCTGTAGGGTCGGAGTTCAGACCAGAGGGGAAGCTGAAGTCAAATGACTCTCCCATCTGCCCACAGACCTCTCCAGAGCTGGGTTAGGTGAGACAGCGAAGGGGCCACCCTTCCACATCCCACCACCAGAGAACAGGGCTGCGCGGGAATGAAGCCAGCCCAGAGGAAAGCCGAAGCAACCACGGCCAGGTCACGTGGACCCTGCTGCACCTCAGCAGGTGCCTTCCTTGACTTTTCAGTTATGTGAACCACATGCTCGTTTCTGCTTCAGCCCGTTTGAGGTAGAGCCAAGAGTCCTGGGCTCCCTGTGGCCTTGAGAGCCCTGGCGAATGACCCATGACCCCACAGCGCGTTCTGCAGCAGAGCCAGCCCCCGTTGGGCCTCTGCACCCCCTCCTCAGGCCTTGTCCCCCCACTTCCAGGCTGCCCCTAGCAGGACCGTGGGGGCAGGGACAGGCCTTCGCCCCATCTGTGGCCCCGTGGCAGACGCGGGTACTCTCTATCAATGTCAGGGCATGAGTGAGCCAATGAACGCGGCCCCTGTGGCAGGGGCGGGGTCCAGACCACATCTCTGGGCCCAGCAGGGCCATTCTCCCCCACCCCAGGGACTGGCCCCACTCACTGGTGGGCCACTGTCAGCCGGCGCCACTAGAGACGTGCCAGGACTAGGAAGGAGCTGGATGAGCCTCTCCTGAAGAGAAAACGGGGAGGAGGGCGAGCAGGCCTCAGAAACAAAGGGGTTGCCATGGTTACCTCTGAAGAAAGCGACTCCAGCCGGTGAAAGGGAAGGGAAGGCATTCGGCCCCCAAGCCAGGACAAGGACGATGAGGCCAGTTGCCACGGAGATGACCGCACTGCACAGTTTCCCCTGTGGGCCTGGCCAGGGCCAGCGCAGGGTCCCAGAAGCCCACCACTCTCCATGCCCCTCACCCTAAGTCTATAAGACTCTAACCCCTGTGCCCTTGAGGGACTCCAACCTGCCTGCCCACCCCTTGACCATGAGCTCTCCAGTGAGGGCAGCCTCAGAGGCCCAGGTAGAAGGACCCTCTCATCTGCCCAGGGACCACCCCAGGGCCAAGCAGGGAGATCCATCCTGGCCTTGGCGGTGGGGGATGTGATCTCAGATGGCCTCTGGGCTGGAACAGAGGTTTCACCCCTCTTCACAGATGCAGTAACTGAGTTCCAAGGGTAGTCTGCCATCAGCCAGCGCTGCTGGAGACGTTCCACGACTGGGAAGGGCACTTCCTCCCTGGGGCCAGTTGCTGGGACTAGGTGAGAATCCTCCCTCGGTTGGTGGGTAATAAGGAGGGTGCCTTGAGACCAACTTAGGCATCTTCATCATGATATTTGCTAGGTCACGAGGCCAATTCGAGAGGCACAGTTCTGCAAGGATGAAAGATGGGAGTGGAGAAGACAACAAAGATGGACGAGCTGGGGCCATGATGATGAAGACGATGATGATGATGATGGTGGCCCAGTGCCCTGTGATTTACAGGCCCATGTGGTTTCATGTTTGCAGCAGCCAATCAAGTGGGTACCAGGTGCTATCATTCCCACTTTACAGATGAGCAGACTGAGCCCCAGACAGGTTAAGGGACTCCCCCAGCCCTGCAATGAGGAAGGGCCCAGCACAGCTCCAGGCACAAGGAGGGACTCCAGGCATGGGGAGGTCTGGTGGACCAGGCCTGGCCGGGAGCTTGTCCACAAGGCAGAGCTCCACCCAGGCTCCTGGACCGGGATCCACACATGAACAACAGGCCCAGGAGTTCCCATGGCTGTGGCTGCTGGACCCCCACACATGCTCTGCAGAGCCTGAGAAATGCTCATCCTGCAGGTGATTTGGGGGGGTCTGCTCCCACCTGCACTGCTCTCAGACCAAATTTCTGCTTCCTGACAGAATTTCTAGGATCCTCCCTCTGTCCTCTTAGCCGAGGAGGGGAGAAGCTCTCTCCCTCCCTCACCACGGGGCAGGTCACCAGTGGGAGGATTTCATGACCCACATGCCTCCCAGGGCTGGCGTGCGGGGTCCAGCAGTCCCAGCCACATCTATGTCATCCCGCTTCCTTTCCCCTCACTGTGAAGGAGGTGGAAGAGAGGTTGTTGCTCCCACCTTTTGGATGGGGAAACTGAGGCCTAGAGCACAGGAGCAGCTTGCCCAGGGCCTGGCAGCACCAGTCCCGCCCACGACCCACCGCCCTTTCCCCCGCTCCACTCTTACCTCCTCCCCCAGGTTTCTGGGTCTGGGTTTGTCTCTTTATCTAGGTCTGCACCCACAGCTGCCCCATTAGATCAAACAGGGGTTGGCTTCCAGGAACGCCGGGTGCCTTGGCATTGCTGGCCTGGCTGGCAGCTGCTGGTTGGTGAGCCCCGGGTGAGGCTGTCTCCTCTCCCCAGGCACTCCCCAGGCCTTTAGAGAGGACATTCTCCCACTCTCTTTTATGGAAAGCCATGGAATCTTCTGTGTGGATGCAGCCTGGGCAGCCAGAGAGGGGTGGCCACTGAGGCCTGGCCCTGGCCCTCACGTGGCCGCAGCTGACCCCTCCCCACCGCAGCTCTCCAGTCTCCTCTGCAACGTGACAGCCCTGGCTTCTCTACCGTTGGGAGGAAGTATTTTTAGTTTTGAACCCACCACGTGAAGCGAGACAAGTTATCAATAGCAGCAGCAAAGGGCTTTTTCTTTCTCTTTTTTTTTTCCCCATATCTTTGGGACCTGAACAATCTGCACCCATTAAATTCTGCCAAAAGAAAAAAATAGTGTTCCTCTTATAAACTTTTTACCCCACAGCTTCCTTGCTGCTGCAGCTTTGCAAACCCACTCTTCCTGGGGTGACCCCACCTGTCTCCGCAGCCCCCCTCTCCACTCCTGGGCACTGAGACCTGCCCGGGAACAGGCCCATCTGAGCAGAGGGCCAGCGTGGGGCTCAGGCCACAGCTCCAGAGCGGGTGGAATGAGGAGCTGGGGAGAGGGGAGAAGGCCCCCAGTTTCCCGCTCACAGAGCTGGCAGCAGCCGCAGCCTCTCCTGAGTGCCTGCTGCATGCCCAGGGCCAGGCCCAGCTCCTCTGAGTGCAGCAGCTCAGGGACACGCCCCACCCCACAGTGAAGGGCGGAGAAGGCGGCCTTCCCAGAGGTCTTTCCGGCTGTAATTCCTTGTTCTGGAGGAAGGGGTTCCTCAGTCAAGTGGGTTTGAGAAAACTAAACAAAGTGAACAGGGGCCCTCCCCAGCCTTAGGCTTCCCAGCGCCCGCACCACTCAGGGGCACTTGGAGGCTCCAGGGCCCAGGAACCAGCGCCCGCCCCACTCAGGGGCACATGGAGGCTCCAGGGCCCAGGAACCAGCGCCCGCCCCACTCAGGGGCACATGGAGGTTCCAGGGCCCAGGAAGGGCCTGATGCAGACCCCCGGCATATGAGGATGGAAGCCCTTTTTCTATGAAGTTTCTTTTTTTTTTTTTGAGACAGAGTCTTGCTCTGTCGCCCAGGCTGGAGTGCAGTGGCGCCATCTCGGCTCACTGCAAGCTCCGCCTCCCGGGTTCACGCCATTCTCCTGCCTCAGCCTCCCGAGTAGCTGGGACTACAGGCGTCCACCACCTCGCCCTTCTAGTTTTTTGTATTTTTAGTAGAGACGGGGTTTCACCGTATTAGCCAGGATGGTCTCGATCTCCTGACCTCGTGATCCGCCCGTCTCGGCCTCCCAAAGTGCTGGGATTACAGGCTTGAGCCACCGCGCCCGGCTCTATGAAGTTTCTTTCAGGACACTGGAGTGGCTTCCTGCTTTGCTGGGGGAAGCATTTGAGCCAACATGGCTGCCTGCCCTTTAGGACTGGTTAGAGCTGTATTCCTGAGAAAGCTCAGAATAACAGAGGCTTTGACAGGGTAGAAATGTACTTTTCTCTCAGGTGACACAGGCCTAGGCTGTCCGGCTGGCAGGGTATGATGCATCCTCAGGGACACAGCTCCTACCTTACTGTATCACTCTCCTAGTGCTGGCTTCCAGCCTCAGTGTCACCTCCTGGCCCAAAACAGCTGCTGGTGCTCCAGCCATCACAAGCACAGCTGACCAGAAAGGAGGAAGGAAAAGAGGAAGAGTAAAAGTGCTGCCCCCTAGATGAGTCAGCTCCCTTTGAGGATCTGTCCCTGAAGACACACCCAGCACTTCTGGGTGTGTCACATCTCACTGGCCAGAACTCCATCCTATGTCACTTTTGGTAGGATAGCAGCATTTTAGCTAAGTGCATTGCCAGCGTAAACAAAACATGGGGCTACCGGGAGCAGGTTAGAGATGGCCTCACAGCCAGGCCTAGACCATCCCAGGCCCAGAAATGTGGCCATCTCCAGAAGTGACCCATAACTGCCCTGCCTCAGAAGAACGACAGCCGCAGATGCAAGACAGAGCACCTGGTACACATTCCCTGGCATGCCTGTGGCACGAGGGCTGTGCTCCGACCCCATGCCCCAGCGTGGTGCTGCAGTGGCCACTTCAGTGTTGGCCCTGGAGTTTCCCTCTTCCTGGCTGCGCCCTGACTGATGGGAAGTGGGTTCCTGCTCCTTCTCGAAATACCTGTTGAAAACCTGCTGCACTCTGCTGGCCCCACCCTGGGCGCTGGGGTACCTCCAGAAGCAGGGCACTCACCCCAGAGGCTGCTAGGCAAAGGGCTTTCCTAGCGTGGGAAAGTGGGGGACCCTAGGGAACCTCTGCACCCTTCCTGAGGGCCTGTGTAGGGTGGGCAGGGTGTGGGCACATCCCTGCAGGGAATGGGAGGGGCAGGTGGGAGCCGGAGGAGAGACAGCTGGGCTGGGTTAGATTTAACTTGCTATGGGAGCCAAGTGCGTTGGCTGGAGCCACTGGCTGGGCCTCAGTGCCAGGGGATCCGCCAGGCACGGGGGTGGGAGGGGCAAAGTTTAAATACGCCTGGGGAGCCAAGATGGGGGCAGAGATGGGGCCCAGGTTGAGGAGCTGCCAGGGGCCTGAGGGCGGCACCATGGGTTTTCCTCGGGAGAGCCCAGCAGCCCGCTTGCCCTCAGCTGGAGCTGGGGATGGGAGTTGGGTAAGAGACAGCCAGCCAGAGATTTGGGGTTCTTCTGGGGATGGGTGTACTCCCCCAGTTGCACCCCTGGGAGAGGAGGTCAGGGAGTGGGTGGAGGAGATGGCTGGCGGTCTATGCGTCAGGGGTCACAGCAGGGCACTGCATGCCCAGCCCAGTCCTCATGGTCATGGTAGAGAGGGGTGACCCATGAGGCAGAGCTATACCCACCAGGAGCTTCATGCAGGGCTCACAGCACCCAACCTGTGCTGTCCCATGGCACCTGAGGTTAATTTACCACTCTACCATTCCCATCTTGAAATTCTTCATCATCTTGGGGCAAGGAGCTCACATTTTCACTGTGCGGAGGACCTGGTGAATCCTGCAGCCATCCTGGGCGAGGAGGGTGCAGCCCAGGAAGCAGGGTCCGTGGGGTAGCTGGTAAATTCTGCAGCCGTCCTGGGCGAGGAGGGTGCAGCCCAGGAAGCAGGGTCTGTGGGGTACCTGGTAAATTCTGCAGCCGTCCTGGGTGAGGAGGGTGCGGCACTGCAAGCAGGGCCCATGGGGTTTCAGCAGTTGCATGCAGTCAGCCAGGTGATGCCATCCCTGCCAGGCATGGTGACAGGCCGGGCGAGCAGGCTGGGCCTGTTCTGGGGAAGAGATGGAGGGGCTGATAAGATGCCCTGTGCTGGGCTCCTGTGCCTGGTGCCAGCCTGCACAAGCTGGGGGAAGGCAGTCTGCCCAGGAGTCCCATGCCCCAGGGCTGGGAGATCCCTGGGGCCAGGGAGGACCATGCTGGCCGATGCTCCCACCGGCTGGCTGGCTTCGGGAAATAGGGGTTCAGTAATGCCCAGGGCATCTGCAGGAGGTGGGTGTGGGTCAGTCTGGGCAGATGGCTGGGAGTTGGGGTGGTACCTGGAGCCCATAGGGGTCTATACCCGGCCTTTGCTGATGGAGGTCCTAGGTGCTGATGGAGGTCCTAAGTAGGCCACAGAGGCACTCGAGCCTCAACTTCCTGGGGGCTTGGTGAGGCTCAGAGGAGGCAGAGCAAGGGAAAGCTGTTTGGAGGGCGTGCGAGCATTGCCAGGGCTCTGCCCAGCATCCACCACATATCCTAGGAACAGCCCTGAATCCTCCTTTGGGAACTACCCATAGGTTGGTACTAGGCTGAGCCCATCTCTTGCCCCAGATAGGGCATGTGACTGGGACCTGGGCATCACTCATCGCCTGGGCATCACTCATCGCCTGGCCATAATCAGTCAGATCATACTTGGGCCCTTCATGGACCCCAGGTCTGAGCTGGGATGTCAGCCTGGAGGTGCCATGCCAAGGGTAAGTGCTGCCTGAGAGGATGGCAGGCTGAGCCCAGGGTGGGGACACCAGTTCTGATGGTAGCCATCAGGCTCCTGGATCCAGCCATGCCTGAAGGAGATAGCACCACCAGTGTACTCTCAGATGCAGGCAAGGTTTCCATCCTGGTAAATGAAGCATCCTGAGCTATCTGCCCACCTCGCCGCACAGGGAGAGGACGGCCACCTGTCCCAACCGGTCTCTGACTCCCTCCTCTCCTCATCAGGGCATTCTGGGCTGGGGTCACCCTTCAGAAGAGCACACAGGGGGGCACTCAAGATGCACACCAGGGAGCCCCAGATGTTTCCACCAGGGTCTTTGTGCCACTGGCTCGTCCAGTGCTGCACAGGTGGGACACAGAGCCCAGGGGATGGAGGAGTTGTCCGGTGACCTCACCGCACATCCCTTGGGCACTCCCATCTCTGCTTGGATCAGTTAAGCAACTTCAGAAAAAGTGAGAGGATGATGGGACACCAGGAAGAGGCAGATCCAGGTGAGGTTGGCCAGTGTAGGGCAGGGGGCAGGAGGACGCACCAGGGTAACAAGCGCCCCGGGGACGTGGACAGCCCTTCCCCTAGGGCCATGGGGAGAGCCCAGCTGGCCCCACCATGTCCTGCAAAGGCAGCCTCTGGCCTGGGTCTAGGAGCTGCGCCTCCATCGTCCTCCATCAAGGCCCGGGTCTGGCCCCTGCTGCCCCCTGCTCATGCCCTTGGTCTGGCCCAGGCATCCAGCTGCCCCCTGCTCATGCCCTTGGTCTGGCCCAGGCATCCAGCTGCCCCCTGCTCATGCCCTTGGTCTGGCCCAGGCATCCAGCTGCCCCCTGCTTATGCCCTTGGTCTGGCCAGGGACCTCGGATTCCCAGCTGCAGCCGGTATGCACCCATGCCACATTGGTGGGTTCCAAGGAAAGCGACATGAGGCCCTACAAAGCTTTTCGGTCCCAGGCACTCTCCCCTGCTCCCCAGGGGACAGCCCAGGCGGGACAGCTTGTTCCCTTGTTTTCTGGTTTTGTGTGTATGTGAGTGGAAGTGTGTATGGCAGAGTGTGTGTGGGTGAGAGTGTGAATGTGAATGTGTAGTGTGTGGAATTGGAGTGTGTGTGGAAGTGTGAATGAATATGTGTGTGAATGGAAGAGTGTGGAATTGGAAGTGTGTGTATGAGAGTGTGTGTGGAAGTGTTCGTGCGTGTGAGTGGAAATGTGTGTGAGAGTGTGTGTGGAATTGGGGGAGTGTGTGCATGTGTATGGAAGTGA